TGAAGATGAAGGAGAAGAAGTTCTAGCAGAAAAGCTCAAAAATGTTCTTAATGACCACTCGATGGAAGACTTGGAACTTGATGACAAATATGTTGGTCCTGCTGACTTATTGAAGGCTAATGAGAGACCAATAAGTAAAGAATCACTAGATAATGCAGCTGATATCCTCTGCCGTTGTGCTGAATATGCCAAGAAGTATGAAAACGGAAGTGAGGATGACAAAGTAGCTGTTGTAGAGGAAAGTAGTGATGAGTCAGAGCAATGGGATTGTGAAACAATCATTTCTACATACTCCAATCTTGATAACCATCCTGGGAAAATTGGAGCTCCGGCAATTGCTAGGAGAAAGAAGTTGGTTGAAGCTGTTTTTGGGTCCTTAAGTGCCACAAGTCCTGTGATATCCCTTCGAGGAAAAGAGAAGCTTCCTGTTGACCATTTGCCCCATGGTAAGAAAACTGCTGCAGAAAAAGTCAAGGGAGTTGGTGGCTCTAAAACCGAACAGCTTAAGAGGAGGCCACATGGTCATGAGACAAAGGAGGAGAAAAAAGAAAGAAAGGTATTTGTTTTTGTGTGTGTGTGTGTGCGCGTGTGTCTAATTCCTTGGAACGTGGGTTCTGTTTGTGTGCCTAACATGACCCTTGTTGAGCAGTCAAGGTTTACATAAGAACTTTTAGGGAACAAAGAAAAGTAAAGGCACTATTAGTTTGAATTTTCTTCAGTGGTTTGAAAATAGTATTTCTAGTTCACACCATTATTTGGAATATGATGATTGCACTGACACTCTGTTGCCAGGCTGCTGTGAAGGAGGAAAGACGTGAAGCACGTAAAGTGAAAAAAGAGATGAAAGGGCTGTACCGGTGTGAAGCCCAGCGTGCTCAGAAGGTTGCTGTGATAACTGGTCCATCTTCCATTCATTTGATGTAAGTATGCAGATTTTTAAAGCATAAGTTTAACTAGTAAATAAATAAATACACAAGCACAGGCAGGCTTCATTTTCATGCCTCTTTTGATGCTGGTATTCTGGTACTGATTACATCATCTTTTCCTTGCCCTTTTAAAATAGGTAAACATCCAGCCTGGTTCTTGCTTAAGGTGGTATCTTCCATCAGGTGCTTTCATTCTTGTTCAAGGCCCCCGTTATCATGGCTTTTAAGAATCCAACTATTGTTATTCAAATTTAATTTTGAGTCTTCTATAGTGCAAAGGCATTAGCTGATATATAACGCCATAGTTAAATTATATCAGTTTTTGAGACAGATAGTTCAATAGAATCCTCACTTTTGCTTCATTTCATGTATGTCGTTTTTGGCTTGGTTTTCTGGCCTTCAGTTTTGATGCCATGAAATAGAGGACTTTTCGTTTTTTCTTTTTTCTTTTTCTTTTTTTTTTTTAAACATAGATAATTATTTACAACTACTAAGGGGGTGAGGGAAGAGGAAATTGGGAGTTGAAACTCAAACTTCGCAGCGGTGTTCTCACTTAGGGACAATGTGAAACCACTTAATTTGTCCATGACGTGGAGAATGAAATAGAGGACTTTTATGCCTCAATAGAACACACTTTGAAATGTTATATATCAAAAGCACCATGTAAGCAGAAGGTATATTACATTATTGATAACATTATTAAAAGTTTTGACTTGGAAAAAAAAAAAAGAACATCATTAATTACTACACTGGTGTACAATATGATAGAACCACAACCAGCATACATGGGAGTAGTTAATATATTTCTGTATTCAAGAGAGCTGACCTTCAGTCGATTTGCCAGTGCCAGAAATGGCCTAACCAGCTGGGGAAGGAAATGATTTCGGAAGAGAAGAACTACCACGGGTTTGTTTTCCATGAGGAACAGGGGCAGCATACCCTCCACCCGATGTCGGTGTAGGATCCCAAATGCCATAATCCTTAACCAGAGCTTGCAGAATCTGGTGATCCTCTCCTCCATGCTTCTTGTTCTCAACATGGCTAAGGAGAGGTGACGCCGGTTGAGATGATTCTGTTGCTGTCATTGGCACCTCCACTATAATTATAAACGCCAACATCATGCATAAAATGTGCAAAACCGACCTCTTACTTGCGCTTGCCATGCTTGTACTTTGCTTCATGTGTGTAGTACGTATCACGTCCTACAATTTAGCTTTCTCGGTGCATAAATAATTTTGCTTAGTACCTAATCCCGCAATTTATACACAAGTAATTACGGGCGAATTGTGATTGTTGGGGTACAGATAATGATTTGCGCGTAGAAGTGTCCTAATTAAACTGGTCCTTCTCACACCCATTGGATGATCCCTCCATCACTCCTCGGTCTTTGCATGTTGTTGAAATGGAGTTTAAGGGTATGGGGTTTTCTCTCTTTTTTTCCTTTTTTTTTTTTTTAAGGAATAAATAAATAAGAACTCATTTTCGATTCCATTAAAAAGAGAACCAATTGAACAAAATGAGGACTTGCTGGCCGAACACCAAAAACAAAATGAGGACTTCTGTTAGTTCTCATGGACCAGTTTATTATCCTAATGCTTTGGACCTTTGGTTTTGGGTTCTCAACACTGGGTAATTTTGCAGCCCAGCCCAATCTTCAATTAGCCAAAACTGAAAAAATGTTATTCCGTTGCCGGGACTCGAACCCGGGTCTCTCGGGTGAGAGCCGAGTATCCTAACCAACTAGACTACAACGGATTTCGAAAGCCACGTAAAAATCTATATTATTTAATTTCTATTTTCCACAATTTAAAACCGGTGATTAATGAGTTTGGTCATGATCATCACCACACACAAATGTATTGTAACTTTATTTTATTTTACTGATTTTATTAGTTTATAACTAGTTAAGGTATTTAACAATATTAATATA